CTTTAAAGGAGCTTCAACATGCTGTTTCTTCAGCAGTGGAGTCTTGCGTGGTGAGCGTGCATACAGGCCATGGTGGTAAGTTTCCCCCAATCTGAGAAATATCAAAGGAGCTGATCAGTAGCATTTGGAATGTCCTGAGTGATTATGTTCATTGTGACATCTCTTATAATGTCAACATCTTCAGGAGCAATTCTGTTCCTTTCTGGGTCAAGGAGAAACTTTGGGCCCTCAATCCAACTTCCTCCATTCAGCAAATATTTCACCCTCATACCTCTAGAGGCATAATCCACAGGATTATTTTTTGGAACTAATGTACCTCCACTGYGATATGTGAGGTGCATCTCTGATGGCTAACACACGATTTGCCACAAATGTGCGAAAACGCTTGTCTTCATTATGTACTTTATGTTGTCTGTCCAGAAAACTGATTGATCCAATAGCAGCTCCATTTCAGCWCTCAGCATCTGATCGACTCAAACTGCCAGGACAGCAGCTGTGAGTTCCAGACTATCAATAAATTCTCTGATTGAAGTTTTCACTACATGTTCACAAGTGCAGCCAAGCTGAGTGGGACACACACACCACCCAAAATACCTCTGCTCCAAGAGCAGAACAAAACCAGGAGGACCCAACATGCTCTGGTTTGTTTGTTGTTAAATCGTACTGAAGCTTTTTAACTCGTTAAAAAACGAGATTGTGTTTGTGTAAAGCACCTGGTTAGTTTTCCATGTGTTTGTTTCATATCCAAATTTTAGTTGAAGTTTTATTTTGAACTACATTTGACTCTTTTTGAGTTTAACTGCAGTGACCTGGCAGTGAATGAAACCGTGCTGATTCAGTGATGTTAAATTCAGCTCCATGTGGCATGTGAAGACTCTTAATGTGGGTCAGTTTGGTTTCAGCGTTAGTGCACAACGGCACGCCACCCAAACAATGACAATGTGTCACAGCCTGAACACAAACAAGTCAGGAAGTGTCTCCTTTAAACCATTTTTGCTCCGTCTTCTCGATCATATCCTGCTTCTCGCGCAACTGTTTGTACCCATTGTTTGGTTTGTTCACCTGCCATCACAAGATCAGACTCCATCAAAGATTTCTCAGCACAAGCTGGTTTTGTGTCTGTATGAGTGTGACCACCTGAGCTGTTGGCTCCGCCCCCGGTTCCTGTGTGTGAAGATTACAGGTACAGAGTAGTTCTCAGTAAGTATGGKTTTGTGGGTATTTTATGCTGCATGTATCTATTCTCTGAGCCATCATGGCACAGATCCTGTGCAGGGGTAGACACAGTCTACTGCACAACCAAGAAAAAAAAGACCTTGATTAAAGTTCTCTGCGAGTGTCCGTCATTTGTAAAAATGAAAGGGAGAAAAAAACGGTAAAACCAAACAGAACACTAAACTGTAACTTTTAATAAGGTCATGTACACA